GTGGTAGTGTTAGGGAAGCCTCTAAAAAAATGGCCAGCCCTGCATTCATTTCTATAGAAGCCCAAAAACTATGGAGAATACCGTGTATTTCACTGTCATCCATTACCTGCATCGTTTTTATACATAATCAACCCTCCACATAATAACAATAGCACCACATTTTTTGCCACTAAATTATGCAGCCTCATATGGTTGAGGCAGCGCCAAAAGCAAGGACCAAGGGAGGAGAGAACAGAAAAGTAGTCAAGAGGATTACGTTCATTTGGCTTTTTCTTAAGTTGTAACTGTGCTAATGAATGCCCCTCGTCCTGACGATATTAGAAAAATGTATGGGATTGCACCAAGTCAACAATCCTATTCAGGAAATCATTGCAAAGAAAGCGGGATTAGATAGGTTAAACAGGGCCAGACCAACATTATACAGCTAGAGAAGACTATGACCAAGCCTAAGGCGGAAGCGGTGCATTTTCACACCAACTGTTATGACTTATGCCCCACACACGGCTCCAAGGAATTAGACAAAATGTGAATGTGGATGAGAGAGAGGATAATCGAGTCATGGGTTTTAAGCCTAGGGAGAGGAAGATTCCTAGGCACTGGTATCTGAATGGGCATGGACAAGGACACGTGCTCTAAATCCTCAAATATGGCGTACTCGAACACGGGAATTCAAGGCTCTTAGGCAGCAAGTGATTTTGGTGTGTAGCAGCGACCAATTGACAAGTGGGTAGGAAAAAAAGGGGGCAAAATGTAGGTCAGGCTGAACAAAAAATTTGTCAAGGGGATTGCCTTCACCTGTCACTTTGATAAATTGTAGCTCTGTCCTTACGATGGCACCTCTAACTGACGATGCCGGCAAAACGTTTGGAAATGTATCTAGCCAACAGTCCAATGATGGAAATCACGAATATTGTTGCAGAGGGTACGGTACTAGGTACGTTCAATAAGGTCTATCAGACGCTGCGACCAAGTTGAAAATACAAGGTCGAACTTACATTATAGGCTAACTTTGGCTTCACATCAATTTGGACTAGTATAAATCAAGGTCAATCTGTTCCAACCAGGATGTACAATATCAGTAACCTAGATCTATTTGTATACTGTGCTACAGAATGAAATCTACAAAACTACTTTTAAGATATTAGAATTCAGATAAGTAAATACTAATAAAGTTCTAGAAGATTCTAGGCTTCGGAGACGACTTGAAGGCTGTGGATTCCTGACACAAGCAATAAAACAGAGATTAACTATTTAAAGAAATGAAAAGAATACGGGGGAAAAGCCTTTAAGGACAAATGCTATGAAGACCTTGTTCGCAGGCTCAACGAAGCACAACGCAAACTTAAACAGAATAAGAAAAAAGACAAGATAAGACAAGTGGTGAGGACTGGGGCAGTAGGAGCTAAAGCTAAATCAGCTCGAACGCAGGCCATACAAGGTCTGCTTTATGATTAATCATCTGTATTCTTAGAATAAAAGTAGTTAGAACAGACTCAGCTTATGTGAATGGAGTAGGTTCCCATCTAAGACTAAAAAGCTGACCAACTCCTTTCAAAGTAGCCACTAATCGTGTCACTAATCAATTTATATTCCTCCGATTCTAAAAACGAATAGATTTTTAAATCAGTTTTTTTGGAAAAATACGGCTGCAGATACCGATAGCAAAAGTCTTCGTGCATTGGTCTTCGCAAGCTCTGCTCTGTTTGACTAGCTCTTCTGCGTAGTCCCTCACAGCCGACATTCTCAACACCGTTCTCGGTTGCAGATGCATGATGCATTATCTCGTCGCCAACCTCCGTGGCCAAATCGCCCACTTCGGTGTCGGATAGTTCAGGACCTGAGAGCCTTCCCGAGTGACTAGTATTGCCACCTCGACCACGACCTCTTCTGGAGACGGCTGCTGTCAGAAGACCACCTCGAAGTTTGGCTAGGTGCAGCGCTGTCACGGCTGAAGATTTCCTGTTTGCAGCAGAAGCACCACGAGCAGACGCAGATAATAACCGAGTAAGCCTTAGTGCAGCAGGATTGGAAGGGCTGGCAACAGATGAGCCAGTTGTCCAGGTGGAAGCAGGGCTAGATCCAGACGGAACGCTTTGGCCTGCGGATAAATTATCTAGAGCCAAGTCATTGCTCACTGTTTAGAAAAGATGAAGAAAAGACAACCTTAACTTTTGACACTAGTTTATTATATTGTTCGTGCTGGTCTTATTAAGAATGAGGGCAGACAAATAAGGACTTCGTAGAGATGAAAAGAGTAAAGATTGTCCAAAGGTCTAACGCAGGTCTGTATTTTATCATCTTCATGAGCGGTAGATGAAATATGAATCAGTAAATCGCTGTTGAATCCTCGAAAGCCAAACTGCTATCGGTCTAAATATTGGCAAGCAATGTGATACGATTCAAGGTAAATTTGACCCTATCTTAATCAAGCTGATATTAAATCCTTGAAAAATTTCCATTATTTATCTATCAAAAAGATATGTTATAGCTAAGGCTTAGGATTAAAAAAAGTATAATAACCTTGTGATGATCGTTTGAAAAGATACTAATGGAAATTAAGGAAAGGAAACAGATTTCGAGCGATTGAGTCCAGACGTGAATCATGATTCAGGAATATAACCTATCTAATCGACAAGATAATAAACTAGGCTTA